AAAAAAAAAAAAAAAAAAAAAGAATGAGAGGAAAGCGCGAGGGGGGAAAAAAATGTTAACTTGTAATATGTATTTTTACTACACTTTTCTTAAAAATAGAATAATGGCAAAACTCTGAAAGACATTGACATTTTTTCTCAACAGGAATCCACATTTAACAGTTTCGGCTTTCATTAAATTTTGCTCTTTGGTACCTGGATCTTTTATTTAACAGCTATATTTGTTTTAACTCTCTCGCTCTCTCTCCCCCTTTTCCCACCTTCCCCAGCAAAGCCGCAAAGGATTTTGCTTGAGCAAACATAGAAACATTTTTCTGTCTGGGTTCTCATTTTCAAATGGTTATTTATGATTTTTTTTATTTACATAAAAATGAAAAAAAATGACCAGCTGGAAATGAAGTACCGAGGCTCCATTTTTCATACCTGCCCGTGCCGTTTTGTGCCAGCGCTGGAGATGTGCAATGAAAATAATGCGACTCCGGAGGCAATATTACCAACCTGAATCAAATGAGATTTTTCTTGATTATTGCTGTGTCTGACTTGTGAGCAGCAGTCAAATAAACTGCTTCAGGTTGAAACGGGTAATCCATCGACTCTTCGCCAAGGGTGAAGAAACACAATCTTTTGGTGGGGCCAGAGCAGGGGCCAAAGGTTTTGTTGCTTGTCTGGAGTTCGTCCGGGGTGGGATAAGGGGATTTTATGATGCCGTGTTAAAGAGAGGGGAACGGTCGGCTCGCAGCCAAACCAGCACTGGTCCAAAAATGCTCCCCCACCTTGGATTTCATTGTAGGTGTCATAAGAGGTGCAACATTTCAGCTCCTCGTTTTTCATCCATCAGCCTGTGGAAGTCTTTGTCAGTAGACATCGCTGCTGCAGCATTGGAGAGAGATTGGGGACGGATGCAAAGAACGGGAGCTGCTAACGTTGAATGATGATAATGCCAGTAATGAATGCCTTGCTCTTTTATAATGCTGTTCGTCGATACACCTCAAAGCACTCTGTGAAGAAGAGCTCTGTCATTCTCCCCATTTTACAGGGCAGGGAAACTGAGGAAACTGGGTGAAATGACTCACCCAACATCCACAAATACAAACCAGGCCTCCTAGTGTAACCTGCTAGTAAGGATTATGCAGGAAAGGATTAAAAGCAGAGTCCAGGAGCAACCCGAGTTAGTTTGCAAGCAGAGAGAGAGGACTCTAGCTGACGGGGTTAGGAAGAGATGCTCCCTGCGGGAACTTTTTCCCATCGCTGCCTGATGTGTGGCTTCCTGTCCCCCTTCTAGAGCTTCTCTATTCAGTCTGGCAGCCCCAGTCTCTGCACAGACCATCTCTCTCCTTGCTGACCCTGCAGTCATTAGAAATGACCCAAAACCATTGGACTCTGCCCCTTCTCCTAGAGAGGCAGGACAAAATCCTCCCGTTGTGATCCAAACCAAGATGTCGAGTCTTTCACGAGTGCCCTAGCAGGACCCTGATCTCTGCAAATTCAGAGGCTGCTCCTGGGTGAACCAAAGGCTTATACCGAGTTGAATAGAGAAGTGAATGATGGAGTCAGCAGCAGTCATTCCTGAGACCCGCATTGACATTGCATGCCATTTATTTTACTTCGCCTCTGAATTTTCAGTGCACCCCAGACGGTTGTCGAGACAAAAGCCAACTGCATCCTTGGAGTGATAAAATGGGAGACGGCTGGTGTTGTGCCACATGAAGAAGAGGACAGATGTGTGCCCTCTGGGAGGGACTGCAGATAGCTACGGTTTGTAGGATGAACACACTGAATTGGATGTTTTCCCACAAAAAGCAGTGAAATAGGATGAGACATTAGCATTTAATCTGTCATTATTAGGCATCAGTGTCAACACCCCGGCTAAAGGTAAATGCCTCTCTTTTCTGGCCCTCCACAATGTAAGCAAGCCAGCTTTGCCTCCCTTTGTTTAGTTCCCATTCGGAAAGCTTATTTCACAATCATAAGGGCAAGTAATGCAATTAATGGGGGGGGGGTTTCACATGGCAGCGTGGTTCGGCAGTGTCACCGCAGACAGAGATTGATGACGTTCTGAGTTACCAGAAAGGTTCAGTCAACCATATCCCAGCACCTTGCACCTCCAGTTAGAAAGCAATTTTCCCTCCTCTAATGAAATGTCCGACGTGCTGTCTCACCGCCAGTGCTGCACGGAGGCACAAGGTGATGTTTTAAAATTAGTTATTCATACAATAATAATACCTTGAAACCCATGTCGGAAACCTGAGCTGCGCCTATGGATGGCCGTGTTTTTTCTGAGCGTCCAGGAGCTCTGGTTAATGGGAAGTTTTCTCCGCGATGCCCCGATTTAGCTTCTAATTACCACGAGATCAAAGTGCATGAAACAGCACAGAGCAACCGATGTTCAGTAATATCTTCCATATACTTGTTTTAACTCAGTATAATTTGTTCACCTGTCCATACTGCAAGAGCATACCTACAGTGAGTGCAGAGACACGATTGCAGCTTATGCAGACTTACCCAAAATAGCCTGAACTTTTTTGATATGGTGACAGGGGCTCCAGCCGCTAGGTCCCGGGAAGGGTTGGACAGTCCATTTCAAAATCCCTCTTGCAGCTTCAGTGCAATGAGTACCCAAGCAAACTAAATTAAAGCTACCTGCAATCTGCAACCCCACCTCTGCCTGCAGTGTAGATGTACCCAGAATCGGTTTAAGGTGGCACCTTCAGTTGAACCAAGCTAGCTGCACATCCTGCCAAGCTTATAGTGTTTTTAGTGTCTCCGTGGAGCACATTCAGCACATGTGTCCGTGCGAGGCTTTCTGATGATCCCATGCATGAAGCTGGCAGCTGTGTGAACTGCAAACGATATGGGCAGGAATTGTGCCTGGCTCACCTAGGTGAGGTGCATTAGCTAGTGGCTGTCTAGGTGATCCCTTCCTTGGAGACAAATGCCATGTTTCCAGGAACAAAAAGGCTGGTATTTTCAGGAGGTCCCTGGATCCCTCCATTAGCTGGACATCTAAAAGCACTGAAGGGCTAAGCCATCCTTCAAATGCTTCAGCCGCCACTGGGACTGCTGGAAGATTTGCCCGTGCACGGCCCCTTCACCTGGAAGATGGAGGCTCTGCAATGCTAAATTGAGAGCTGGGAGGAAGGTGCCTTCATTTTGTTGAGCTGGTATTTTCTTGAGAAGGAAGAACGCCCCAGTAACTAAGCCTAAACACTGGGCACATTTAGACTGAGGAAATATGGCAGCAGCATGATAAGGTCCAGGGATCGGATGAGGCATCCTCCAAGAGATGGGTAGAAAAGGAGCCATTCCAAGGTCTCACCTTGTAGTCAGCTCAGGTGAAGCCTGTGTGAAGCCCAGAGGTGTCACCTCCTAACCTGGGCTCAAGGGAACACCATCAGCTAGCTGGGCCTGCTCCCCCTGAGGTTTGCCTTCAGCTCGGCATCCAAAACCTCTGAGCAAAACTCAGGCAATGTCACGCAAGGGAAACTACAAACACAGCAGGACTCTGTGTGTGTGTGTGTGCATGCAAAACCCTACAGCTGTTTGCATTATAGGAGTGCCCAGACTTACGTTATATATGGTCCCAAAAAGCCTTCAGCCTAAGGATATATCTACATGACGCAATGGGCGCATCTACACATGAGACGCTTGATGCACAGTAGAGTAATTCTACTGTGCATTAGCATGCACAGCAAAACCCATGCTAATA